TTTCGGCAGGGCGTTGCCACAGTGCTGCCTGGACAGCTCCTCCTGTTCCACCAAGAGCTCCAGGTAAAGAACCGACATGGTTTGTATGGTCATTTGATTTAGTCTTTGTGTTCCCTGGGGAATGAGTGCAACAAGAACTTGTGAACATTTGGGACAAAATTTGTTTTGTTTTATATCCATGCAGGTTTTTAAATTATCTTAGTCTTTTGATTTTGCTGCTGTTGTGGTTTAACTCCGCTAGGCAGCTAAGCACCTCATAAGCTACTGCAAAGAAAATCAACTCCATCCCAGCCAAAAGCAGTACAGCTACCCTTTATGAAATAATGCTCTTTTTCTTTTTCTGTGGTAGGGGTTTCAGTGCCTTTACAGCTTGGTTTACCTGATGCCATTCCACCACAATATGGGGCACTGAAAGAAGTGAGCATTCATACAGTGAGAGCAAGGCTCAGACTGCTATACCATTTTTCTGACCTCATGTACTCTTCATGGAGATTACTCAACCTCAGTCCCAATAACCAGGTAAAATTCCATTTGGGGGGAAAAAAAAAACCCAAAACCAAACCAAACAAAAAAACCCCAAACCAAAACCAGCTTAGTTGTGTTGTGTTGTGTTATGCCATGTCGTTAGAGACTTTCTGACCAGATCAAGATGGATCTTAGTAATAGGTTCTATAGGATTTTATAATAAATAAATAATATAAATCCAGATTAAATCAAACTTTGTTATATGTACTGTTATAGATTTTTGTTTATGCTAGCATTGAAATGTCAATGTTTCAGTTTCCAAAAGCTTACTAGCCTCAAAGTTAAAACCAAAAAATGCTAACCTGCCTGTTTCCAGAAACATTGAAGTGCAAGTGATTATTATGAAGGTTTTTATTCTGTCAGGAATGGAATTAATATCCTTTATTAATATGTTTATTCTCATACCACTTTACTGCAGAACAGTACATCTCATTACAATGCTGGAACATGGGGAATAGTTCAAGGACAGCTAAGGCCCTTGCTAGCACCACGAGTATACACGCTCCCCATGGTACGCTCTATAGGAAAAACTATGGTTCAGGGGAAAAACTATGGGCCACAGATTACTGTGAAAAGGATTTCAACCAGGTCAGTATCGTTTTCACAGGCATTGTATTAGACCTAAAGCAGATACTGGTATTCATACATTTTCCGTAACTGTTGACATACTGAGCTCTCTCTGTACAACTTTGTTAAGTGACTTCAGTAGCTTTACACGTTTATGAGTTACATTGTATGGCTGTGTCTTTTTTTTTTTGAAAGAGGTCGGAAATGCAAGCCCATTTTTGTACAGATAGCAAGACAAGTAGTAAAGCTGAATGCATCCGACCTTCGCCTACCTTCCCGTGCCTGGAAAGTGAAATTGGTTGGAGAAGGAGCTGATGATGCAGGTGGAGTGTTTGATGACACTATTACAGAAATGTGTCAGGTATGAAAAGTCTCTTTAGTTCAAAATGCCTGTGTAGAGTTTTTGTTCTCTCTGTCGTCTTTTAGTATTTTTCAAATTTCCTTTTTGTAGCTTAGCAAATACTTGTTTTTCAGTCCTGAGCCACAACACTAGAGCTGCCTACTTAGGGATGTCTCTGAGGATAAAGGAATCTTCCTAGATTGTAGCAAGGAATGCCATAAGGCCACACTATAACTGGTATTACAGTAGGCCTCTTGAAATTCTGAGATGGCCCCTACATGTTATGGGAGCATTTTGCGGCCCCCCCATTCTGTCCAGCCAATACTTTCTATAAGAGAAGTGGTACTGTATTCTGTGATTACAGTACATTCTGTGCATACAATACAGGAACACCCCAGGCAGGTGTTTCTCATATGTGTCACCTCTTGGGTTCAGTGCTGGAAAGGAGATCAGTAGCAAGAAGTGCACGTTTTTGCCTGTCTGTAACCAGGATATTGTTGCTATTGTCAACGTAGCTGTCTTTTCAGATTCACCTGGAAACTGAAGGCTTCAGACTACCAGGACTAAGATAAAGCTGGTCAATGCTAATGTGTACTGCTTATAGTTTTAAAGGTGTGTCTCAGCCCTGTGACACAGCTGTGATTGTAGCTAAGAGAAGGATTTAAGACAATGTTGGCTAGAAAAGTTTGATTGTTCCTTAATCTTCTGGCAGCCTCAAAACCCAAAGAATGAGGATTAGTGATGATAATTAGTGTATCTGCTTAGTCTGGGATGCGGCAACAGCTATGGATAGTGCTGGAGCTGGCATTGGAGTTAGAGTTAGGATACAGGATGGAAGAAACTGAAGAACTCTGCCTGTTAATGGAATTTGTGAAGCCTGTAGAACTAGAGTAGGGTTGATTCAGGTAAGGACTTGGGGCATAATTTCTGGGTTCTTTCCTAGACAGTTTACATTAAATACAAGGCGTGATGAGGGTTCAGAACAGAACTCATTGAAAAAAATTGTTTCATTCTTGGTTCTTGAAAAAGCTGCACCAGTAGGGTGTATAGCCTATGGCTTCTGATTATTTCTGAAATGGGTACCAGGAATGTATCACAAAGCAGTCACAGTAACACAACCATTATAGTCTGACATAAGGGCAGGTCTTGAAATAAATATGGTTTTATTACTAAAAATCATCCCTACTATGTTTACTTTCTCTTAAATGTTTCACATTAATTTCAAAGAAGGAGTCATCACTGTAATTTAATATTCTGTCTTGTAATGCTATAATGTCATAATATTTTTGTAATAGATTTGTCTTCCCTGTCTCTAAGAAGGCTTTTTCATTGTTGATTTTTAAGGAACTGGAAACGGGAATAGTAGACCTGCTTATTCCTTCCCCAAATGCTACAGCTGAAGTAGGCTACAATAGGGATAGGTAAGTTGTCCAGGATTGCAGATGCTAGCGGGTGAAAATTAAAATCTTCTATTAACTGTGTTATACCAAGTGATGAGACTTACGATTGTCTCTAGTGTATTTTTTCCTTCGGATTGATTGTGGAGGAGAGGGCATGGTTTTAACATGAACTTTGTGGATTATTGATGTAAGAGTAAGGAGTAAGGTCAAGAATGCCAGCTTTCGTGGTCAGGATTAGTTCTGCCTATCTCAGCCTCTGTTATTTTAACAGCCAAAGATAACTCTTCACTGATAATTGCGTTGACAGTTACTATGCTGTGCTTAGAAATGTTTTGTCTTTAACTTCTAATCAAGTAGTGTTGAAATGATACTGGAGTATCATTCTAGTTTCTTTGTTCTTTCAGGTTTCTCTTTAACCCTTCAGCATGTTTAGATGAACATCTGATGCAGTTTAAGTTCTTGGGCATTCTCATGGGTGTAGCTATTCGTACAAAAAAGCCATTAGATCTTCATTTGGCTCCAATGGTCTGGAAGCAACTTTGTTGTATCCCACTCATCTTGGAGGATTTGGAAGAGGTAGATCTGCTCTATGTGCAGACCCTCAACAGCATTCTTCACATTGAAGACAGTGGGATTACTGAAGAAAATTTCCATGAGGTAGGATTTAAATGTTGGAACTTCTAGGTTTGTTCTGAAAGCAATTACTTTATCAGATTGACCTTAATTTCAGTATTTATATCATTCAATGTCTCCATTATTGGGATAACTTGCAATTCATAAGTATTTGGAATAGTTTGTGATCATCTTATAGTTCTAGGTGACTCATAGTAAAATACTAAACTTAGATCACAAGAGTGACTGACGCTGAACATACTTTTCCTGTTTTGCATAACAGATGATTCCTTTAGATTCCTTTGTTGGCCAGAGTGCTGATGGTAAAATGGTTCCCATAATCCCTGGAGGGAACAGTATCCCACTTACCTTTTCAAACAGGAAAGAATATGTGGAGAGGGCAATTGAGTACAGACTCCATGAAATGGACCGTCAGGTAAGAATCTCATTGTGACCCCATCCCCATTGTTAACACGAACAGTGTTTTTGACTTATGCGCGTTTCCCTTACAGTTTATTAGGGAGTACGAAAAGCTTGGTGCTCTGCATCTTGTCTGGACCCCCATGGCTTTTTTCCCCCCCACAAACTGTTTGGGGTTTTGTTTTAAATTAGTCCTATTTTTCTTAGTAATTGCTCAGTTGACAAAAGAGCGATAGAAATCAGAACTTCATTAGAGTAGCCCCACTGCAACTGTCAGCCCCATTTGAGATAATAACCTGCAATTGTGCATGCTGTGCACTGTAATTAGACATTATAGCAACATAGAGACTAGCTAAAGTAAATATTATTGACAAACATTTGTTTAACTTAAAACTATTTCTCCTTTGCTTTAGCACAGCAACTACAAATATTTCATGATGCGTTTTGAGAACTGTTAATTGTCTATTTGCATACTTTTGTGTATTTTTTCATTTGCATTATGAAGCTTGTGAAAGTGGCATACTAATTACATGCTAGGAAAATTCTTTTCCTTTTTCTCAAGCTATAGATGCATGCATGATATTACCTGCATTAGCAAAGTAAGTTTCTCATCAGAGGTACCAAATCCTAAGTCTTCTTGAACAAGTACAGACTTCTTACAAATACGACTTTGTTCCAGCTCAGATGTACAGTACACACGCAGTGTTTTGGTTTAGCCATCAACATTTGTGCTGCTAACTTGTACTTTTTTAAGTTCTCCTGTTTTGTATGAAGACACGTTCTTTAATGTGCAGTTACAATTAATTTTGTAAAATTACAAATACCTGTAATATTCTCCATTATTTTGAGAGAGGATACAGCCCTTACAGGGGATGCTTGTGTGGGAGGTTGTATTTGGCAGGTGTTCTAGAATTCCATCTCTTTATCCCATTTCTCAGCTGATTATGTTACTTTTGCATTGGATGGTACAGTAAGTGGCAGAGGTAAGACAATTGCACTTCAAATGCCTCTTTTTCTTTTTTTTTTTTTTTTTTTTTTTTTTTTTTTTTATTTTGGGGGGGGGGGGTGCAATAGGTGGCTGCTGTAAGAGAAGGAATGTCTTGGATTGTTCCAGTTCCTTTGTTGTCTCTTCTGACTGCCAAGCAGTTGGAGCAAATGGTTTGTGGAATGCCAGAAATATCAGTTGAAGTGCTGAAGAAAGTTGTGCGATACAGAGAAGTTGATGAGCAGCATCAGCTAGTACAGTGGTTCTGGCATACCCTTGAAGAATTTTCAAATGAGGAGAGAGTCCTTTTCATGAGGTTTGTGTCAGGAAGATCTCGATTGCCAGCCAACACAGCTGATATCTCTCAGCGATTCCAAATAATGAAGGTTGATAGGGTAAGTTGCCATTTTCGGTTCTGGGGTTTTTTACACCTGTCTAGTAAAATCTGTCCTTTGGCAATGGGAGACAGGTTTCCATAATTGTAAATTTACAGAGGAACTATGGGGTGGGATATGCTCTGAGCTATTAAAACCAGACATATTAATTGTGTAGAACTACATACACTGCATTAATTGCATCCTAATTAATTTGCTGCATTTGTTATAGTTATACGATTGGAGGTCTTGCACAAGAAAGAAACCTTCTTGTATTGTAACTTTTCCACAGTCATTTCCTGCTCCAGTCCCTTTTTTGATTTGATAATTTATTTTTTAAGTTTGAAATCTGTGTAAGTGGCAGCATGTGACCACTCTAACATCTTAAAACCACTGTAATGAGTTTACAGTATATTACTTTACATACAGGATGCATTCATTTGGCATTACTTTTGGATAATGTGTAGCGAAAGCACATTCTCTGTGAACTACATGAATCAAAAACTTGGCAAAATCTAAGATAACAGTGGTTTGACTGTCTTCTTTGGTTAGGTGTCTCTCAAATTGCCTCACGTTAAAGCACACTATGGTATGTAATTTGAATGCTGCTTGGTATCTTCCAGTGGGCTGCTAAGCAGTAGTGTGATCAACTTTTCAAATAGTTGAATTTCATTAGTGGGTTGAATTATTTACAGAGCAGGTGATAGAGCAGTAGTTTGCCTATATTTAAGGATGAAACAAGTGATGTAAACAAGGGAGGCTGGTCTGCTGCTTGAGAGGAATTTTGAGATAGAATGTGAAAAGGCTGAATGGCAGAGGCAAGGAAGGGAGGGAGCAATGAAATGTTGGGATATGTTGCATTTTTTGCTTCATTCACAACTTAACAGTGTCCCACCTTTTATCCATTTTCACAGCCTTACGACAGCTTGCCTACCTCACAGACTTGTTTCTTTCAACTGAGGCTCCCACCTTACTCCAGTCAACTAATCATGGCAGAGCGTTTGCGCTATGCAATCAATAATTGCAGGTCTATAGATATGGACAATTATATGCTCTCACGGAATGTGGACAATGCAGAGGGCTCAGACACAGATTATTAACATTCTGTGAACAAAATCATCTTCCTTTTACTACAAATAGTGCCCTAAGTCCAATTCATTGTTGACATAATTTTACAGTAACCATAGATGTTTTAGGAGCATAAAACCAGATGTTAATAGACAGTGGCCACATTTTAGTTACTCTAAATGTAACAAAAAATTAATGTTTTTATTTTTTTGTGATTGTAAAAAAGAAAAAAAGAAAACAAAAAAAGTATGATCAGTAAGTTTTTTCTTCTTTTTTGGTCACTTTTGATAAGTTTGCATGGAGACATTTTGGTGCATTTTTGTTGGGAATAGTACATTTGTAAGCCCTCCCAGTGAACATGAAGAGTGTATATTGTGTATAATTGTTCATTAGCAAGGACAGTTTTACATGAATATTCACAATATTTATTTTGTTTTAATTTGAATTGCCTGTGCAGGGTTCCTTATGCAGAGAAAAATAAAGCAAATACAAGAATTGGTTGCTTGGTATGCATTTGTGAACTGTCATTGCTTTACTCAGTCTTCATACTTTTATATTTGGTCCCAGAAATTATAGTATTATAGTGTTTAGACAGGATGTGACATCTGAAGCATCTTAAAATGTTTATCTTCAACGAACCTGATGTGTAGTACTGTGCGTTCTTAATGTCTTTGAGGTACTGACTTTTTCGGGTATACCACTATTTTATTCTTCATACTTCAATACAAGTTAACATTGTACTTGGTTCCTTCTTGATTTTAATTTAAATGTTTTTCTCCTCCAGAGTAGGAGTTGTTGACAGGAATAACATACTACCACCTTGACCCAGAAACCTTTAAACTTTTGTCCAAAAAAAAAAAATAATCCTTTTTAATCTACAGATGGATGTAGGTGATTCCTAATCAGTGTACAGTTGAGGCTGTGGATATTATGTACATTCTTAGTTTATGCCTTTGATTTTAGTAAGTTTCACCTGTTTGCTCTCATTTCCTTGCAGCTGTAATTGTATTCTGATCAGCAGGGTGTGGCTTACACGGTGATGTTCATATTTGGTTAGGACAGTAATGCACTGTACAGAGACATGTTTGTTCTGTGTTTTAGGGAAGTGCTGAAGAATAGATAATTGTCCAGTGTCTCTATCGAAACCATGATTTATGTCAAACCAGAAATGCTGCTTGGTGTTCAGGAGCACGATTTAACTGGGCTGAGGAAAAGGGTAGAATCTGTCCCCAGGTGACCCCCTCCTCATTCCCACTGAACTCCTTGGTAAGGATGCTGTGGGCCCTAGTGCTAGCGAGAACATTTATTAACTTAATCTCACCTGGGACAAGGCTGGTCCATCCGAGTCTGGAGAAGGGGGTAGAAATTCCTGTTGTTTTCCCTGACGTGATTGTGGTATGTTAGCAGGGTTCGGCAGGGCAACTTCACAGTTGTGACTGAGACTGAACTGGTGTATTGCTGCCAGCTGGCAGTGGGCAAAGGGCTCACTTGCTAGATAAGCTGTAAAAATTTGCAGATACTTGTTTTATCTGGTGAAATTCTTTTGGTTAGTATTAGTTGTTGGCTTATGAAAAAGGCAAAAGCTTCTTGAGCTATGACCAAGAACCAGACTGCAAAATGCAACTCCTAGAGGGGGTCTCTCAGCAGTTTGGGGGAAGGAGGGACCTGGGGCTCTGAAATCATGCAGACTTAGTTTCCTGCCTCATTAAGGTTCCAAATCGGACTGAGATTTTGGTGTCCCATCACTATGTTGTGGGGGAGTATATTCACATCTTGGTCTAAATTTATACGTGTCATACATGAAATATATAAGGTTACAAATAAAAGGGGAAACTGCTATATGAATTCCTGTATTATTGCCCACTAGACTTCATTTATGTGTCTGAACTAGTGCTACTAATTTGTCAGTCTGTTTCAATCAGGCACAGAAAATAATGGAACTGTGCCTAAAAATTACAAACTTGTATGGACTATGCAGTTGGCTTCTTGGATAATGAGGGTATTTTTGGAGGCAGTTTACAGTAAAGTGAAAGAGGATGTCGATATTGGTAAATACTGATTGCTTTAAATGAGACTGTTTTGATTGTGCTTTTCCCTTGAATAACCTATCTTAGCATCACTAAAACTATCAAGCGCTTATTATTTTTATATTATCCTACTGTTTGTTTTCACCATAATTATATTGTGCATACATTCCTTTTAGCCTGCTAATTAACATTTTTCTGTTGCTCAGGCATCTGAGTGAGACTGGAATCATGTTCAAGTTTGCATAATGCTTCTTATACATAATTGCATACAAAGGTAAAGAATGTACAGCACCGGTTATGTCCTACAATTGGAGACCATCTGAGAACGTTCTAACTTCATGTCAATTGAAGGGTATTTTAAGTATGTAAGCCTCTCCCTATATAGAAAGGAGAATATTGCCAGTGAATGTCTGCATTCTGTAGTACAAGTAGGTCTCATATGCAGTTATTTAAAGAAAAAAATATGCGACTATCTTGTAACAAACCTTTCAGTGGCAGCTTTGTTGCGCTAGACGGAGTTGGTGGTAGCAAGGTGGACCACAAGGGATTTCCAGATACCATACCTCATTTCCTTTCTGCCTTTCAGCATCGGATGGTATGTGTGTGACTGAAGCAGGGGGTATCAGTGTAACAAATGCACTTCAGAGGTGTGTGACAATGTGTTTATCTAGACCCATTTCAAATTAATATCAGATACGGAGGTGCACAGTAAGCTTAGAAGTGTTTAGAATCTAACATAACTAGAGAAAAACAGCTTGAAAAGCTTTAGCCACAGAAGTAATGTGCTGGGTAGGTATTACACAGGAAAGCACTTAGTTGCCAAAAGCCTACGTCTCTTGTTGAACAGGATTGCTGCTTATTTTTTGCTGTACGTGAGTAGCACCTAATATTTTCCTTACACCTTAGATAACGCTGAAGAAGCACTGACTCTCTGGTTTATAAGGCTGTTGCTTCTTGAAGCCTGTAATTTCTGCTTCTTACCCTGTTTTTACCCTGCGATTAGATAATTTCTTCTCTACCACCTCTGGTATTTCCAATCGCTTTTTCCTATTTTTTTTTTTTCTTTCCCACCTAGGAAGTACATCCCTAACCTTCTGGGCTATTAGACAGCTGGATAGCCCTTTTGAACAGGTAGGCACACTGCCACAGAGAGAAGATGAACAGCCAGTCCCCAGACTTAGAGGTAGGCAAGTTACTTCTACTGGTGAAGCCTCACTCTTTCTGGTGCTATCGGTGGTAGTGTTGGGTCATCTGACAGAGCTGGAATGTAGCGGGAGTTCGTGTCTGTCATGCTCAGAGGGGACTGGTATGAGAAGAATGTGTTCCTGAACAGTCGTATTCTCCAGAAAAGAGGTGAACAAGTGATCAGGTCGGGTTCAGAAGTTTGATTTTAGATCTGTCATTCAGCCCTTTTGACTAGGTGATGGAGTTTAGTGGCAAAAAATACCACTGCTGGTAAGTAAGCAATTTTACTGTGCTGCAGGACTTTCCTTTTACCTTATTGCCAAGCTGCGCTATGTCATCACAGTGGAAATCTTAAGGGTCTTCTGGATGTTGCTTTTCCCCTCTTGTGTAGGAAAAGGCACAAACTTCTGATAGCAAAGTCTTGTTTGCCACTTGCATCTGATAACCTAATGCAGCTTCCAAGTAGGCATCTTGGTTTATGTCATCGTTCTTTTAGTACTTTCGTAAAATGATAGATAACAAGCCTTCCTCCCTCCATGCCTGCCTGGTACGTTAGAGTTAGGGTCTGGGAAGAGTAAAAAATGTTTCAGTAATGTTAAGAGAACTTTGACGGAACTCAAATGGCTTGGAACTAAAGAAAACTGTTAACATGCTTCCATCCTTACATACTACCCTAAGTAAAATGTAATCATTGTACACTTGATTTTCAAATTGGATTGCTAAGTAAGAAAATGTATTACTGATGCTGCAAAAATTATCAACAAAACTGTGTTCAAATTCTACTGTGTCATGAACAAATATCCTCATTCAAGGAGGGGAAGAACAAAGTAATGTGACTTAGAGCATTTGTACACAAATAGGCAAAAAAAAACCCACGTGGGAGAGTGTTCCAAGGCCTTTTATAGCTCTGTAAAGTAAAAAAACCCCCACAAAAACCACACCACCACTCCCCCCCCCCCCCCCCCCCACCCCACACCCCCC